TGAAGCCTTCCCTAAAGACGAAAGAGAGGCCCTATAGTAAGAGCATCCTATTGAAACAAGCAAATGCGTCCATCTAGACCTGCACCCGTGTGTTCGTTACTCTCGGACTGGTTTAGCTTGCGTGAGTTAAAGCAATAGAGTTGCTTTCATGATGCTTTGCTGTTTGTGCAAAGGCTGGTGAGACCTGAGTTTTTGACGCAGAAGGTGTTGGGAGGCTCTAGGATGAGCGTTGAGCTTGCTGCTGTGCAGCATCTCTTGACAGATGCACTTCTGCTGTGCCAGCTGCTGTAGCCTCTTCAGAAGGAGGTGATGCACGCTGTCTGTCCGGCTTCTCTGGCTTCGTTTGGTACGGGCGTGGGCGGCTGTCCCAAAAAAAAGCACCATATCCAAACGAATTACACCAGCGCAGCAAGCCTCCCAGGAACTTGCTCCAGCAAGGGTTTCCCATGGGTTCATAGCCTCCTTCAGGAATCTACCCGCTCGGGTGTGTGTCTCCTCCACGGGCTGCAGGTGAACCTCTGCATCCCATTAACCTGCATGGGCTGCAGGGTTACAGCTGCTTCACCATGGTCTGCACCACAGGCTGCAGGGCATCCTCAGCTCCCCCTCCTTCTCCACTGACCTTGGTGTCTGCATAGTTGTGCTTCTCACATCTTCTTAGTCCTCTCTTCTCTGGCCACAATTACTTCTGCACAACTTTTTTTCCTTTCTTAAATATGTTATCGTAGAGGTGTTACTAGCACCACTGATTGGCTCGGCCTCGCCATAGTGGTGGCATTGGCTCTGCAGGACGTAGGGAAGCTTCTGGCACCTTCTCACAGAAGCCACCCCCTCACTGCTAAAACCTGGCCATGCAAAACTACTACAAGGACATAAACCTCTGGTGTTCAGTCAGCCAGTGAAAACAGAAGAAATAGTGTCTTGTTCCTGAATGGCTTTCTCAGTTAAGACAGTGACAGCTGTCTCAAGACCTTTCCATGGTCACTTTGTGCTGGTATTAACGCTCTGTTAGTCCAGTGTTTGTGCAGATGTCCACATGACAACAGAAGAGAAGCAAATGATTTTACAGATGGTCAGCTGGGTTCATGTACACGGTGTTTTTAATGTATGCTACGCTTGCTACTGTCACAAGTGAAAAGTATACTTGGTGAGACAACAATGTGAAATATTGGATGAGCACCCAGAAGATAAGAGTGAGCCTGACTTCTTCCCATCACAAAACTGCAATTCTTTTAGCTGAACACAGCAAAAGAGCCATCTTGCATAGCTGTAACATATTCAACTGCCCCTTGAATATAACCTTTCTCAAGAAATGAGAGAATGTGTAAGAAATTGTGATATGAATTTTAAACTAAAGACTTTCTCAATCCATAGTGTCTATGTTTCATGATGTCTTGATGCTTTTCTAATTGCATTTCCTTTTTTACTAAGAGACAAAGTTTGGCATTACTATTCTAGCTGCAAATGTACTAAGTCTGTCTTTTTTAAAACCCACTAGAACAAAGGCGACAAAAAGTTGAAGAATATCTATCCAGAAAGAAGACTTTTTCTGGTGTTTCCATGCAAGAAAACGAGGGATCAGTCAGGTATTTCTCCTATGGCTTACATACCTTTATATTCTTTAATGCATGTTCATTTTCATCTCAGCTGGCTTCTGTGAGATCATCTGATGCAAAGATACCAATTGCTAATGAACGTTCATTTTAGCCAAATGCAGTAGTGCTTCACGTTTCATATAAAGAAAGCATCATGAAGCATCTGAGGAAGAATTTGGATTTGTAACTTTAAACTGAGATGTTTTTCTTCTGAGCTGTCAATACATTTTCATAGTTGCTAGGAGACGATACTGGTCTTGGTGGTTTTGTGACTCACTAGGTAGTCTGATGCCAGCTCTGGTGCCTGACTGAAGGTTTTGGGATCCTGTCAGTGTGGTAGGCACTATGTGTCCTTGTTCTGTCTTGCCTCAAATGGCCTTGGCTCTGACTGCAGTAGCTGAACTTCAAGTCCTCGTGCTACTCCTCCTTTCCCCTCAATTGCAGCATTTGTAAACATGACTTTCTAGAGCAGATAAATCAGGCCAGACAAGTTGGTACTCATCCTTAAACATGACAAGGACACCTGCAGTAAATTCTAATCTCTTAGCCAGCTCTTTATGGTGTAAGAAGGGATGTTTTGCAGCTTGGGCCCCGAGCAGTGGTTGCTTAACCATTTGTTTTTGCTGGAGGAATAGTACAAGACAAACAAATGCTTCAGTGTGAGTTCAGCCTGCAGACTACTAACTCGACCATGAGAACATCCTCTAAAAGTACATTCCTTTGTTGTGTGATTTAAGATGTCTTTTTTGTTTTTTAAGCAGTAGCAGAACTAGGAGAGCTACTAGCAATAAACTGCCAGGCAACTTGCAGCTTTCAACATCTCCAAAGCCAGAAATGGTAAGTTTTTGACTGATATTTAAATGCTGATGGCACTGTTTCTATGGCTACAACATTCCACTCACTCAAATCATATTTGTTACATGACTGCTACAGCATGAGAAGTTTGCAGGTACAGAGGTGTGTTTGTTAAAATTTTATTCAGTCACTGCTGCTTATATGCTTTTTGGAGAACTGTCACATTACTGTATGTAATGGATCATATCGATATTCAGCTCATGCCCGATGGGAGAGAGCATGAAAGAGGATACCATTATTGCAGAAATAATGCTTAAGCTTTCTGAGATTCTTGAGAGAAGTTGTTAAATTTTTGGATATATTTTTGGTCTTCAGGAAGTTATTTAAATCTGAGTAAGGTCTTCTGTCTGAGTCAAGTCTTCTATTGTACTCTGTTACTTGGAAGAAAATCAAACCATTAACAAAACTAACTGTTGATTGTGTGTGGTTTTCCAGTTGTGTGCTGGCAATTTTAATGTGATCAGAAGTAGATGCCAGTACCTAATCAGAGTTTAAGGGAATGTGTTCCCATCTTGTGTCACTTTTCCAAAATTAAGATGCCAATGGTTGTGTTGCGTAGGAATAGCAAAATAGAGATTCTTCTCCAGACCTGTTCTTGGGCAAAGCTGAAGAAAAAATAGACACGAGACCTATGTTCACGTTAGACAGCTTTGAGTTTGGATTCCAAGAGATGGAGTTATTTGAGGAGGGAAGCAAAAACCTTAGAACTTCAAAACTGAATGTTGAGGGAAAAAATTCTGAAAGTGAGAACAAAGGCACTGGTTTAGAAATTTCCTGAAGGGCCATATTTTGGTCTGTATAAATGTCTCACGTGACTTTAAAGTTGAGTTAAGCTACACAGCTTCCTGAAATAACAGCCCTTGTACTTGAGCTCTAGTTATAGGCTTGGTCAAATCCAGCTTCTAAGCCCAAACGGCAGAGCAGGAAATGAGGTGAGCTGTAGTTTTCTTACAGTTCAAGGGCATCTTCCTTAATGAAGGGTAATACCAGCTTCTGCAGAATTCCACATGTAATTCACATGGGGTTTTTTTCCTGTCTTTAGATACTTCACTCTTCCAAAAGCTGCAGCTTGGATAATGCTGAATTAGTTGCTGTAGAGCACCTTATTTGGAGGAAAAGACTAGATCCCACTTCTCATGGCCTCTGGGCTGGGCTTGTGCTGAGAACATATGGCTGAGAGCTTCAGCGGGTAGTAAAGCCATATAAACCTCATGTAACAACTCTGAACTTACAGCATCCTAAGCTCAACAGCAAGAAAAATTCTCCCTCTTCTAGTAGCATCTACTAGAGCCCTAATTAAAGGCTTTACTCACTACCTTGTGTTAGTAGAGTATCCACACTAAGCAGAGGAATGGTGCTGCCAGTAAGTGGTGAGGTATGCAAACAGCAAAACTGCTTTTGGCTACCTACAGCCTAAAGCAAGTTTCTACTTTTTATCCTTCTTGGAAGGTAATTTGGTGAAAAGACAGCAGTTGCTTTGAGAGTTTTGACTCTTACTTCCAAGGCAGAATTTAAGCAATTTTCATTTGGGTTTTGGTGTGAGTTCTGCAATAATAGTTAACAAATACTCAGTATTTATATAGTACGTCTGTAAATACCTTTAAAGTGGCATTTACTGTTAATCACTCTAGTCCTCTATATCAGTGGAAGCCTCTTTGGAGACAAGGAGCATGCAGCATGAATGGTCTTCTAACATTTCCATGGATTTGCTTTTGATTTCAGGAAAATAAAGAGAATGCTGATGAACTGTCATGGGACCAATCAAGCATAAGCTCAGAAAAAAATGTTATAAACTCTTCTACAATCCCACTGACAAGTTATGTGTCAGGGCCAAACTGGAATCCTGGAGATCATGCTTCCAAGGATAAAGTGAGTGGAATAAAGCCTCAGCATGCATCTCTTACCAAGGCCTTTCTAGAAATCAAAAGAATAAAAGAGAAGCAATTGCTTGCAGAAAAACAAAATGCGAGTGCCAGCCTACCAAAGAAACCAGCGCTTGGCACATATCGTGGCAAAGTTATCCAATCCAAGGTAAATTCCTTCCGAAAAGCAGTAAAATCTGAGGAGGAAAAGAGTTCTTTGCCAGACAAGAAGCTTCTTCCTTTGGCTACCAAACCAGCAGCAAGTTCTTTGGCCAGGAAAAGCTGCAGTGCAATTCTGAAGACCATGAAAGTCACAAACAACCCTAAATCTATAAACCCAAATGGTGTCCTGTCACTCACCAGCAAACCATCTGACAAAGCTGCTATTAACTCACAGCCTAGTCTGAAGAAACAGCAACTGACACTTGGTGTAGTGCCGAAGAAAGCAACTGTCCAAAAACCGATTGGTGGAAGGGAAGAACAGCCAGCGAAGAGTGCTTCCAACATTTCTAATCGCGGAGCACTAGGTGTGAAAAAATGTGCAGATTTTTGTGAAGATGCAAAACCAATTTCTCTTGTTCATGCTACAAAATTGGGACAGAATTCCAAACCTAATGGCAGCAGAAAATTTATTTTGCCAAAAGAGTCAGCAGAAGATAGAAGGTAACTGAATTACTGTTGTAGCTTGATCTTGGAGGTTATTCAGATCTTTCCAAGAATATCTAGCTTGATCTATGTCTTGCTGTAGATACACTGAAAAAAAGAACTGAGTGTTTGAACTCGATGCCAAGGGCAACAGAATAAAACTGTAGATTTAATTACTGAGAAATCAGGACTCAGACTAATTGCAGTAGCTCTCCAGGCTTACAGCTTGTCCTGTGCAGTTAGAAAATATATGTTGCTAGAGCTGTTTGGGTTTTTTTAGCTTAAGGGTTGTGATAGCCTTAAGCATGACAGATAATCCTGTAAGTGAATTTCACATGCATGTCACAGCTTCAAAAAGAAATGACTGAGGCAGGACGTATGTAGCAGTGAGCATTTTCACAGACTGAAGGAGGCTATTTGTCAATAGTTTGGTGAATATATCTTAGACAATGGGGAGAAAGGAAATATGAAAACTGAATTACGTTTCACATCAGTTTCAGATTTTAAAAACTGTGTGCTAGGGTTGTTCTGGGCTGCTCTCCATGCCTTGTGTCTTAACACACTTAATAGTTTCTAGTTCTGGTTTAAAGGGGTATTAGCAAACAGAGGTGGCACAGATGAATAATTCAGAAGCATCTTTTACTCTCTTATGAAAACAAGAACCTGTAACCTAAGTCTCCTGTTGCTGCTGGAAAGGGGAGGTTAAAGTGTTCTAATCTGATAGACACCTAAAGCAGACAGTGATATGCACGGTTCTGAAATTTCCATGCAGATCTAAATGGCAGCTCTGCTCCTTTGGGGATTAGAGAGGAGACTCGGACTATCTGGAAAGTACATCTTTGTACGACTTACCCTAGTTAGTGTTAGTAAAAGTGAAAAATGGTAAACCATCTGTCGCTTCAGCTAATAATATTGTTAATTGCAGAGCTCGCCTGAATGAATGGAGGACATCTACAGGAAGAGCGATGAGGAGACCTCCTATACATATGCTTCAGGGATCTGAGTCTAAAAGTGAAGAATTCTCTTCTGATGCTTTAGAGCACGTGTTACGCAGTGAAAAGGTCAAGACCACTCTCTCTGAATGCCTGCAGTTAACAGAACAGGTATTGGGGCCATTGCCTACGGTGTTCTGATCATACAGGTCCCTGCAACATGCAACTCCTATGGGCATGCTAGACCCATGTGAATCAGATGCAGGGGACTAATTGCTCCCCAAGTTAAGCAATATCATAGCTTTTGCCAACACCTGAAGAAATTAAGCTTTACTAACTTACTGAACTACACAATAAGAATAGGCCATAATAGTAATGATAGGAAAAGACAAGCTATAATGTAATGAAAGTAGCTAGAAGTAACTAATCTAAAACCAGTTTGCATTTTCACAACATTGGCTGTACATCTGAAAAAGTCTTTCAGGTAGCTCTGAAGATGTGTATGCATTCTACTATCCCTCCAAATTTACAACACTGTATAAATAATTCTCACTTGGAAGAACAGGTGAATATCAATTCTTCTGCCAAAGAAGGAAAAAAATTACTTGTTTCCTAGTTCAAAACCAGCTAAAATACAGCACCTCAGTGTTTAACTGCATGTAAATCTCTGCTTTTGTGCTGACTTTAGGGGTGTCATGGTGATGAAGTACGTGCCATGTTGGATGACTTGACACAGAGAATTCCTGGGGTTAAAAAGCTTGCAAAATACTGGATCTGCTGTATTCGTCTTGAACAGATGAGTCCTCTTGAAAAACTAATTGCTGTCTATGAGGAGGCTATTCTGGCAGGAGCAATGGTGAGCAGCTTTTCTTGAAGATAGAGATTAACAAATATATAAGCATGAAAGTGTAGTATATAAGGTACAACTGCTTCTGATTTTATTAAGTTCTTTTATAGTAAAAGGGAGAGTCATGTGGCATACTTGAACATTAAAATAATGGATTTGGTTTGCTCTATAACCACTGTACTTTGAAGAAGAAAGGTTTAGGATCATCAAATTACCATATGATGTTCTGCCCCAAAGGAATTAAGGATTGAGACTTCTAGTATCACTAGAAACCCAAAATAGAACTTAATTTTACACTTTTTGCTGGACTTAATTCCTGTGCTTTAATATCACCAAGATTTCAGGGCATCAAATATAGCCTGAGCCTTAGTGCACCAAGTGCCAAAAATACTGGGTTTACTTGTGTTCTGACTTATGTCTGAACAGCATTAAATAAACGGTTTGTAACATGAAGATCATGTGACCTGTACCACTTTCCTGTAACTGTTATATCAACCAAATAAGCTGAAATGATGTTGCTTTTCTAAAAGAGTGCAACTTTTTTTCAGCCTAAAGAGGAACTGCGACATGCACTAATAGATATTATGAAGAATACTGAAACACTTTTTAAGTCTGAGAATGGTAAGTCTGACTTGGTAGGCAACACAAGCAGTTTAAGCTATTTGTGCTTATATTACATTCTATTTTGTGGAAACTTTTCTGTGTTCATTTTGTACTCAATTGTCTTAGAAAACAGCCTTGACTAAGCAAGTACGCTTCAACAACAGGCATGTAAAAATGAGTGGCAATGCTCTTGTATTCAAACTTTACTACTTAAACTCTGTCAAAGGGAAGTTTGTCCAGCTATTTCAGCCTGAAAAACATTATATAAATTACATATATTTTATTTATCTATTATAAAATATTCTTGTGAGTTAAAAATTGGTGCCTCTGACACAAACTCCTTCACTACCAGAAGCATGGTTGTGTTATGGCTTAGTGTCAATTAAAGGTTGTAAAGATTCTAATTTTGGAAGAGGAGTAGCCATGAATATTCCTCTTCAATATAACATAACCTGATGAGTATTTAAACACAAACTGACTGAAATACTTGTTCAGAGCTGCTGCTCTTGGAAAAGAAGAAAACAATTTCTCAGAATGTGTATACTTAGCCTGAGTTTTCAGGTTGCAGGTTTTTGAAGGTGACTAAAATGAATGATAAGTAACTTAAATTGCTGTGGCTCAGGCTCAACACATAGTTAATTTCATTCTCATGTAAAGCTCTAAGACTTCAGGGATCTCTCTAAAACATTATCTTTAGCTGTAACTAATAGCAGCTGTACTTTCTTAATTGTTTTATTTTTAGGGGGAACTGTGTTAGAAGCTCATTTAAGTGAGGCAGTGGAAGTCAACAAGGAACCAAATTCATCTGTAGAGACAGTTCAGGAAAGCTTCAAGGATTTCTGTTCCAATGACCAAAAAGCAGAGAGCAATGACAAGAAGGAGGAGATAAGCAGTGAAGCTATCAACAAAGAAGAAACACAATTAGACTTAAAACCAAAAGAAGAGATATTGCCAAAAAAGAATAAAAAGCAGAAGGCTAAAGGACGTTCCAAAAAGAAAGGAAAATGTGAAACAGAAGAACAGAATGAGGAAGGGCTAAAAGATGTAGCCCAAGCAAGTAATTCTCCTGAGAAGGAGAATGACACATCAATGAGATACAATCCACCTACCACACCACACTTGGGAAGGTAAGACTACTGCAGGTAACCATGGAAAGTTTGCAGTGTCTGGAACAACAGTAATGTTTGTGTCTTGTTGAAACAAGGAGGCACTGCATTGGAGAGCACCTAGTCAAAAGCTTTCAAGAACTCAAATTTTAGGATTGTTTCCCCTTCCTTCAGAAGGAAGTCTTTTCAAACAAATTCATCTATTTATTCCAACTATTTTGCTTTTTGAATGCCACACTGCAGAGGAACCAGGCTTTTGTGGCAGGGACATGAATTCCAGGTTTAGGATCCCCTCCCACAGCCCACATTCTACACTGAGCTAGGTAAAGAGAAAGTAGGTGTCTTCAGCCTTCCTGTCTTCAAATGCAGACGTGGTTGTACGTCACACAACACAGAAGTAGTGAACAAGACAACTGTCCTGTAAAGATTATTTTAAATGTGTCTTGAGGCAAATACCTAGGTAGTAACTTCAGTACACACCAGATAATATTTAAATTATTTTTTTGCCAGGGGTTTCTTCTAAGATAGCAGACTTAGGAAAGCTGTGTTCAGCTTTGATATCTGATACAGCTGGACTCCTGGCAGCTGTCCACTATCCCTCATAGCAGGGACAACAGTTTCTCCCTGATGGAACAAGGAGGAATCTTCCTTTGGAAACTCTTTTCAGGAGGTTCTCTGGGTTAAAATATTTTGTCCAAGAAAAGAGTTGTACATCTGTTTTTAACTGCATGAATGGGAAAGG